TTGCCAAGGCAACTTATGTAAGAAAGAGTTTAGTTGGGCTTCCGGTTCCAGAGTCCATCCATGATGGCAGGGAAACAGGACAGCAAGCTGTAGGCATGGCAGTTGGCGAGGCAAGCCTGAAGTATAGGGGCAAACTAGTAGATTTACTTTCAAAGCCTGCTGCCAGTGACAAACTTCCTGCAGCAAGGCTGTACCACCTAACCCTCCCCAAACAGTACCACCAACTGGGGACCAAGTGTTAAAATGCCCAGGACTGTAGGAGACGTTTCTTATTCAAACCACCATACCTTTTTGATAGAGCCATGCACTTTGGCCCTGGCTCAAAGCCAAGCAAGGAATTGTGAGTGCATCGTCCTTTATGTTCATGTACAGAGCTACAATGGGACAGGGACAGTATATACTGAGTACTGAGGTTCTGGCTTACTTCCTGAGACCTAGTAACCAAGTTATTGTATAGTTGTGCATAGTGACTTATGCTTCTAGATTCATTCCCTTGCTTTAGGAAACTCATTTCTGTTTATCATGTTACACTACATATGTTTTTCTCAGCCCGCCCCCTGAAGTCAGGTATGAACCAGTCTTCATTCAAATTTGTTATATTTAAAAAAAAAGTGTATTGGAAGCTATTCTCAAAGATTAATGTTCAATGGATCTGAACAACACAAATTGGCTTTCCAGGGAATATGAGAAATTTGTAAAACAATCCCTGCCCATCTGCTAAGGGTTAAAATGGACTCCATCAACTGTTTTCAGAAAACATACAATGCCTGGTGGTTTTCTCTTGGCAAAATAAGAAAAGTACAAATTGATTAGGCTCATTTTAATGAGTATTTGCCTTTAGTTTGTCTCAAATCCAAGTGTAATCTTTGTTCATTATCTTATCCCTTCTGTCTGGGGACTGTGGGTGCTAAGCACAGGTCTGGTGGTCTGGGAGAAAAAGAATTAGGAAGGGGACCATGGAGCCAGGGAATCCCTCTCTGTATGTTCGTACAATCAGTTTGTTGTTGACCCAGAAGGTTCAGATAGATAGTGGCTAAGTCCAGCAAAAAGGAAAGACAAGCCTCGGGGAAAAAACGTCAAAGTCCTGTCCCCCTTGGAAGCCCTCGGTCCACAGAGTAGTATGTATACTTCTTCATTCTAGCCTGGCCTTCCTGTGGAATGCAGATGCCTTTGGCAGAAGCTCCTGAACCTGCCAAAGTATTTTAGTACGCTATTTCCCTCCATACAGCAGTGACAGAAAGGAATACATTGATCTCATCATACCCTTGCAAATTCCCCTGTCTCCTGTTGTAATCATGGACATTCTTATTTTTCCCACACCTCTACCCATATATATACACAGTACTAAGAGAAAGCTAGAATTCCAGCCAGCCAGATAACACTCCTTGCCTCATCTGCACAATCCTTCCCTCTCAGAATCTGAGGAAACAAAATCGGATGGAAGAAATATTCAGCTTAGGATAAAAGCTCCATTTTTGCTTTGGCCTTTGCTCAGGACCCCAGGTATAAAGAGACAGATGAATCCTTTGGTTGGGTTTATAATGTTGAGAATCATTCCATGCATTCATCGTATATGTTTTGATTTGAGTCTGTTTTTTGTTTAAACTGTTATTCAGAAACCTCAACATCTGAAAGCTTATCTACCCTCCAGCCTTGCAGTTCATCATAAAGCAGGTCGCCACGCAATGCACTTTCTCAGAAGACAGATCTGGGATGCAGCGGCACCTGAACGTTTACATGTCAAGTGTGTGCGGGCTTTGGAAGCCGCAGAGGAGAGCTCCCTGACACACCTGGCAAAGCTGGAACCTAAGCTCCTTTCTTCCTTGCTTCACATCACACTGATGTGGCACACACACAGGAGAGGCTTGTTAAAAAAAGAACAAAACATTCTGCCCAAGAGTCTGCATCTCAGAGTGACCACATTCAAGAAGTCAGCAAAAGCAAGCAAGACCACACACACACACACACACACAGAGAGAGAGAGAGAGAGAGAGAGAGAGAGAGAGAGAGAGAGAGAGAGATTGCTGAGCCTGCTTTGGGCTTTTTCAGAGGACAAAAATATATAACCAACTTTATCTTAAAGTGTTTGTCGAGTAGTGGTTACTCATATCCCCCCAAATTTTTCTGATCAGAAGTAGCACTTGTATAATATGTGACTTTTCTTCAAAGCCATTCTACCCAAAACATTTCCAAGCATGCCACATGTCACTTTTTTCCCCCAATAATGGGCATTTAGCCAACTGGCTCACACTCATTGCCTAGATAAGGAAAGAGAGGGGGTTGAGGGGAAGAGACAAGTGCTTAGGCAGTCACTAAGCAAATAGTTGAGCTCCTAAAATGTATTTTATTTTGCTGGTTCTAGATAAACAACACTTGCTTTCCTGCTTAGATTATCTGTACAGGCTGAGGCTTCAAATACACCTGTCTGTGTTATACTGCTCCTGCTACCTCCCATTCTCCTTGTCAGAAGTGAGGTCATCACGTAGGTCCCGGCTCAGGTTCCCATCTCTGTAAAGATTTCTCCTCCGTCTCTGCCTGCCTAATATCCATAACCTGGAGAGTTCACTATAAGGATGATTTTTGCACTTGCCTTATTCATGTAAGTGGATTATAAGGAAACCAGGTGTGTGCAAGTTGCTCTGCTCACTTGAGAATGCCTTGAAGAGTCTGTTTGTTGAGTTGATTTCCATAAGGCACCTCATACCATTTGGTAGCTTCCAGCTGTGGAAACACTCTTTCTCTAAGTTTCACATAACTTGAACTATGCATGGATCCTGCTCATTTTCCTCTATGCTCATCAGCAATGACTGTGAGCTCCTAAAGTGAAACAGATATAACTAAAGATCTCTTTCCCTCCTGCCTCTTCTGTGGACTGTGATTGTTAACACTTCAGAGACACTGTAGCTCAGACCCAGAAGCCAGGCTTCTCTTTAGACCGCTGAGCCTATACTGCTTTCATTTCTGCTTGAAATCTATGGAACAAACATAGACTACAAAGAACTGAGAGAATCATTTGGAAACAAATAGGTCTCATCTGAGAGTCAAGAAACAAACAATTACTTAATAAGAGCAGCATGGATGCTGTGGATGAACGAACGGCTCTGGGTGGACAGCACAGGTTTTCCAGACCCCATTTGCCCTCCTGACATCTTTGCTGATCATGCATCTGTACAGCAGTGTTTTGTGTCTGAAATACATTTGTATTTGAGGCAAACAAACCAGAGAACTTTTTCATAAATTATCTTAAATGTCTTTAAATATTTTGATTATTTACATACAGCTTGTGTTTACATGACAACAAAAAAGTCTTACATGACATCAGGAAAACATCTAGCAGGAACACATGTTTATAAGCAAACATTTTGACAAAAAATGGTCCTAGCCTTTTTTTTTTTTTTCCACTATTGATGAGAGTTTTCTAAATGAAGGGCTCAGCCAGGTTGCCTATGAGAGAACCTAATGTTATTGCCCTCCTGTTTTATGCCTCACACAACACAAAGAATAATCATTTGTCACCTTGGAGGAGTGGTTCTAAAACTCCTGCAGATTTCAAAATCTATGGATACCAGAGGGCCTCCTATATGGCATAGTATTTACCTTTAATTACACATATCCTCCTACAGACTTTAAATCATGTGTAGATTATGAAAATACCTATTACAGTGAAAATACCATGTGGATGAATGTGTTTGCTATGTTGAATAGAGAGTAATAATACTATAAAAAGTCTCTGTGCTTGAGTATTTTCCTTGGCTTATGGAAACCACTGATGTAGAAAGTCAGCTCCTATTTCCTTAACTTTGCATTGGGGTGGGGTGGGGGAAATGGTCTCACTGTGGAGCCCTGGCTGACTTGGAACTCAGTTTGTAGAACAAGCTGACCTCAGACTCACAATAGAGATCCATCTACTTCTACCTTCCATCTAAATTCAGATTTCTGTGTGTGTGTGAGAGAGAGAGTGAGAGAGAGGTGCTAATTAAAATAATTTTACATTCTTTTTTCTCTTTGGGGGTAGGGGGAGGCAGCAAGTGAGACAAGGTTTCTTTGTGTAGCCCTGGATGGCTGTTCTGGAACTCGCTTTGTAGACCAGGCTGGTCTAGGACTCAGAGATCCACCTGTCTCAGCCTCCCAAGCGCAGGGATGGAAGGCATGTGCCACCACTGTCTGGCTTATGTTCCTTTTAAAACAAACAAAAATCTCTTACACCTTTTTAAGAAACACTTAAAGATGTATTTTAAGAAATACTTAAAAATGTAAGTATCTCTTCCTAATCACAGTAACATCTGCAGTTCAGCTGTGGGGATGGGCCTGCTTTGAAGTAAGCTTGGATGAGGGAGAGATAAAACCCAGGAGAGGGGGATATTAAAAGCCAAAATATATTTCTGAACGTCTATTTTAGTGTTATGCGATGAGGCAGACCTGCAGTAGATGCTCTGGCTTGCTTACCTGTGCATATGAAAAGCGCTGCAGTGCAATAGCATTGTTCTCCCTATGCCAATACTTCTTTGAAGATATAAGTTCCTAGAAAAAGTCGTCGTGAAAATAGAACCATCAGACCAACCTGTACACACGGGGAAGCAAGCCTCTGTGAGAAGCCTCCATTCCTGAAAAGCTGTATTTGATTAAGAAGCATTTTAGGATAACCCTGGCAAAAACAGAACCAAAAAAAAAAAAAATCTGTTGTAATTTATATTTTTTAAATTTGTGCATTTGCATGTTTTCATTCCTACTGAAGAAAGAAAAATCTTAATAGATTTCGTTTTGGATTCTGAATACATTCCACTGAGACTCTTGGTCCAGTTTCTAACGGTAACTGCAATTTGTAAAAATCTAGTAAGAATAGAATGTGATGATAATGGCTTCGTTGAGGGATTGTTTTAGCAGAGATTTCATATGCAAGACTAAATGCTGATCAACAGAGCATAATATTGTATTCTGAAGTATGCAGGGGAAGCAAAATTAATTTTTTCTTCTTTTCCTTCTCTCTGAATGTGCCACAGCGACTGCATTTGCCTCCAGACTTGTCAGACACAGTGGGCCGTTCAAGCAAACAGGATCTGGCAGAATCCACGACGCGGCTGGGCGCAGGCTGTGGCACAATGGCCGGAGGCAAGAAGCACCTGGACTTCTAGGGTTCCTCCTTAGCCGCTGCCTGCGGAATTATCTGACACTGTAATTAGGATTCCTAATAGCTTATGTAAATATTTTTCTTAATGATCTGACCCTCCAATCTCTGAAAAACACAGGATTACAAAATGGAACCACCAGTCTTCAGCTTAGGTTGTTTGATTTTTTGTTTTTTTCCACTAACTTTTGTACAGAAACAGTACAGCAGAAATACCATCCTTTGACATTTAGCTGCTGCTGTATTTTTTAAAATACAAATTAATTTTTAAATAAACACCAAAAAATGCCCAAAATACAGTGTGCCTTAGAGTGGTCATTAGTTTAAGGGGACTATAGCATTGGGGTGGGGAGGGTGGGAGGAACGTGCATCTGATGGTAACGTGCGTGTTACACCCCATAGAGTATAGAACATGGAATTCAAGTTGTGTGTGAGTACATTTCAGAATATTATTTCTGAAAAGGTCACCAAAAACTGCTAAGGCGTTTTTTTAAAGAACATTTTATTTGCTAGTATATGAACCAGTTTACATTAGTACATCTTGTTATTTAAAGTGGTGAAGATGAAAATCATGTTTTGGGGATTTAGTCTTAATTGCCCCCCGACAGTAGTTAGTACATACAGAACTTGAAGGGATGCACAGAGGAAGCTGGGTGAGCTGCTGCTGGAAAGTCCTAAATCATTGACATCAACGCTATGAAATTATGTCAACAGACAGAATGCAAGAGCGAAGCTCAAGCTGGCGGCTACACTAATGCTGGGGTCCTAGAGATGCGTGTTGAAGCCTGGTGAGCAGGTTCTTTAATGTGGGTCTAAGACACGGTGGAATGAACTCGGCTTCCCATTGTGCCACCTAAGACCTCTGTGAACTGTGAGCACTGGCTGAATGTGTACACGAGTCTCTAACGTGGAACATGTCTAGGGAACACAGCATAGGGAACAAGTTTTCATGTAAAACACTAGGGTTCGGTGTTTTGGGTCCATATTCTTGAAGGGTTTGCAAAACATATGTAAAAAGTAAAAATTTGTAAGCAACGTGCATGTATTTAAAGACTCAAGTCTTTAAAAAAATGTTTAACATCTGTTGGCAGAAATTGAATTTCCAAAATGCATTTTCAAATAAATTAGAATATTTTGAAGCACCTTTAACTAGCATTTTAAGCAGTTTCCTTTTAATATACCACAAATTATACTCTATTTGCTCTTGACAACATAGTAGAAAACAAAGACTAGGTTTTTAAAACTGTCTAACCGATATGATGAATGTCAGTCACTTAAAAAAAAAGCCCACTGTAGCATAAACACACACTGTATACAGCTCTTATTCAGAATTAGAATAATTGAATCAATGACAGTGATTTGCCAGGATGTCAAATCTCTCCATCATATCCTGTCACTACCAGTTTATTTTTTGTGATAAAATCAAAAAGACAACTATTTTGTCACCAAGACTTCATTAGCACTAAAAAATCAGGCTGATTTTTTTTTTTTAATGTCTGGTTTATTTTTTTTAATCCCTTTTAATTCCAAAGACACAAATTCTTCCCCATTTTCTTTTCAAAATAAAGTTTCAGAATGGATCTGTCAGTTAAAATTAAAGGGCTTTTATATTAAGGAAAGGTACTTTTATGATTTAAAACAACTTCAAAAAAAATTGACTTCTTCCATAGATACTAAACCTTGTTGCACAGGTACACCATGAAAGCCCTGCTATCCTTTAATGGATTGTGAATAAACTAAAGTGAAGTGTTTGCTTTAGTAAGTAACCTTTCTTTTACCCTGTTGTGATTCATTTTACATAAACACACAATGGCACAGTTTATTGACATTTGACTCTGAAAAGGAAGTGTGAGGCCATTAGATATGTAAATTGGGTGTACAATATTTAATAAGTCACTGGCTTGTTTCTTGGCTCCTACATCTATAAAATTAACAGCTGACTATTAGTGGATACATGATTTACAAATAGATAAATTCCCTAGAAATTTAGTGAGCCTATTTGAACCCTTAGTCTAAACAGAAATTAAACTTTTCAAACTTAATAAAAAACACATTTAAAAAAAAAATAGAGTACCCAGGTTTTTCAAATAGACTGCATCCACCACTCTGTTTTTTCAGATTCACTCAGCATATTTTAAGAAGAAGCTATTGGGAACGGATGTGTTCCTTTATCTGGAAACTACTTGTTTCTCTATTACTCCAACAGCTTTCTACATGGAAATACTGGTCTTCAGGGCTGGAGAGAGAGGTGGCTCAGCAGTTAAGAGCAAGGACTGCTCTTCCAGAGGACCAGAGTTCAATTCCCAGCACCCACATGGCAGCTGACAACTGCAACTTCAAGATCTGACACACCGACATACATGCAGGCAAAGCACCATCGCACATAAAATAACATTTTTTTAAATTCTAAAAAAATAAAATATTGATCTTCAAAATGCTAATACATATGCTACTATATATATATATGTACATCCTTCTGATATATTATGAAGTGTACAGTCTATTTATAGATTTTTAACTTATCTTGAGCATAAATACTTAAGAACGCTGTCAAACAGAGTATCTGGAATGTCTTTATGTCAGTGTTCTGATGCCTGAACCCTAAGGTGCTGTGCAATATTTCTTGCGCTAGATCTGCCTTTCTTTAACCTGAAGTAAATATTGTGACTACTCTAGGTTGAGGTCTGGTACATGGCTCTGAGGCCATCTGAATTTTTTGTTACTAGCTGTTGGACAAGATCACATTTCTCGCCTTTTTTGCTAATTCTTTAGCACTAGCCCCAGGATCATTTAGTACCAACTCCATAACAAATAAAAATGCTCCAAAAGTAAAGGTTATTCTACTACTGATGCCCTGTTTTTTATTTTTGTTTTTTGTTTTTTTAATGACTGAGACATACACTTACATAAACCAACAGCAAGGGCATGTGGGGCAACCCATACCACTTAAGCCCATTTTTAATGTTATCTCCAAGATATCATATTACTATGTGCCAAACATAGTCACCATCAACAGTGTCAGAATTAAGCAATATAAACCCTAAACATTGACACTTTGATCTTGAAAAATGAGCAAATTAATCATCTGTGACCAAGGCAAAAAAAAAAAAAAAATTATTGGAAGATGGAAGACAGAATAATACATATTTGGCATTGATCAACCTACCATAGAGGCAAAAAAGACCAAAAAGCAAAAAACCTTTTTCTTGATCACATTAAGGCACAGAACACAAAGGAGGGAGTGAAAGCGATCAGTGCCATCCTGTGATGGCAAACATTCACAGACCGAAGCCAAATGTTAACACTGTGGAAGTAATTTTTCGGAAACCTATTCATGATGTTCCCACTTAATTAGAAAGAGGAAATGATGTAAGCCGTGTTGTGAAGCCAGTTGGTCACCGTATGAGTGGTTTGAAGGTAAAGCTTTAGAGAAGAAGAAATTCTTAGAATTTCCTTGCAGTACATTGTAAAGTTATTTTTACCTAAAGTAGTTCTCAACCTCTGGGGTCAAACAATCCTTTCCCATGGGTCATTCCACATACCAGATATTTACATTATAATTCATATCAGCAAAATTTCAGTGATGAAGTAGCAATGAGTTCATTTTATGGTTGGGAGTCCACCACAGCATGAGGAACTGTACTAAAGGGTCACAGCACTGGGACAGTTGAGTGCCACTGCCCTAGAGTGATACAACTCTAATTCTGGTCACCTGATGTCCCTAAGTCAGATAAACCTCCAGATTAAATGTAAGATGCTTACACCAAGGATGTCACAAAACTTGATCTTGGTCCTGGAAAATGACACCAAAACGTCCTGCAGATTTCCTATTGACAAATCTTTAAATATACCTGTCAGTAAATAAACAAATGAAAATGACCACTGGAAGTCAAAATCCAACTCCTGAACACTGGGACCACACCTTATGGTGATGAGCCTATGGGCAGAAAGCAAGACCGCTTGCTGTTTTCAGCTTGCTGGAGCAGGGGCTTCCACAGCATCCTTCCTTCAGGATATACCAAGCTGTGCCACTGCGCCCTGGCAGTCTTGACCTCTGAGGACTTGTATATGTGTCCACCTGCACACATCCAGACCCTCAGCTCTCACGTCACTCCCAGAGATTGCACCCAGAACACCATTCGCCATTCATTCTGTAGTCTGTGTGCTCTACTTGACGGAGCCATGGGCCAGCACAGCCTGCCTGACAAGCCCAAATCACAGCCACTTGGAAACTGCTCTTTTTTTTCAAGAAAGAAGCCAGCCAGCCAGCAGCGGCTGCAACACAGCTCTCCTCTGACAGTTCCCTCCACACACGTCCCTCAGGGAATGGAGGCTGCAAAATGTCAGGAGGTGGAAATGTCTGCGAGGATGATTGTACCAACAGGGTATACATGCCAGCAGGCAGTGTGGGCTGACACGGACAGTGACTGCAAGCACACACACAAAAACTGCAATCCAGTTAAGATGGCGTCCACAACTCTGCTAGAATAAGGTAGATTCCAGTGATCTGTTTATAAGTACCAGGTGGGGAATGTTGAGCTGCAAGGTTATGTTGAAATCCTCCAATCAGTTTATATCCGATCATTTGCCTTTAGGGATTTAAAAAAAAAAAAAAAAAAAACACAAAAAATCAGAGTTTGAGTCAATGGAAGTGGCTTTTCCCCTTAGGGTGATTCTCCGTGTGTATTTTTAATCCAGATGGCCAGGACCCCCAGACTTTTCACTCAAGTTCACTGAAGAAAATGTGGCTCTGCTGAATTAAGTGTTGCACAGAACAGACTGAAAATAACAGTCAGGCAGGCCTTTTTCTAACCAACAAAGGCTTATTTTTTTTCCATCCACTGCTTGGGCTCAGGCACTCCTGCCCTGCATGCCGCCACTTTAAACATGATCAGATCTGTGCTTCTTTGCAAATAACAACTGACCAACAATGGGCCCTGCTTCATAGATTTGGGAATGTTTGGCTTCAGCTGCCAATGACTGAAGGCCTTTAGCTCCCACTGGCCAGTCACAGTCCGCTTTGTTGTTGTCTGTTGATGTGTCTGTGCTCATTATTCCTTGACATGCAACATTCCCCCTCCACCCTCCAACCCCCCACAACAGCACAGAAAGGAAGCCTCAAATGGGAACAGCTGTAGGGGTTCAATGGGAAATGATGCCTCTGTGTAAAGGGGAGGGAGACAGACAGGGAGAGGGTTTATCTGAGAGAGGCAACCGCTTTTGGAGAATCTTGCTTAAGAACTCAACCTTTGAATATTACTTTAGTGGCATTATTGTGGAGATTGGCTACCTTGGTGGAAAATGCCAGCTCTAATTCAAAACATGATTCCTGGTGAATCCCTTGTTGCATATTTAATTATTTCTACACGTTGAGCTTTTAAATGAAATATATGGATGAATTGGAAGTATTAGCATTTTCTATATATGTTACAGGAGGAAGATCTACACACAGCTGTCAGTGTTTCGTTTGGGTTTTCTCTGATACATTGCCAACTGCTGATGTCTAAAAATTATTTTCTTGAGGACCATCAGGTTGTAAAATGAAGTGTGTGTGAAAGTAACCATTGATTTAGAATGTTAACCTAATGTGGAAACAAAATTTGTAACACCACACTATCAGGTTAAAAAGAAAATAGTGTAATAAAGAAAATACAAAGGCTTTGGCATGGTTTTTACAATCAACAATGGTTAATTTTGATATGTATTTGTGAACAACTGCAAAACACTTAGGTTTAAAACTCTTGCAAGCACTTTTAATTGATTAGGAATGAACTCTAGATGCACAAAATGATTGGACTGTGAACAGTAATACAGCTATATCTAAGAACAATTAACTTTTGCTGGCCAAGAAAGAAACAAATGATTGCATGAAAATGTGTATAAAACATCTATAGAGTATTCTTGTCAAATATAAATGAAATTAACTTTATTATAGAAATCATTCTGAGGATTTCTAGGGAAGACAAATACTTACATTTTGACATAAAACAAATTGGATTATATCGAAGACACACTCTACCTCTTAGCTATCAACTTCTCCTTGAATTTATATCTTACCCTTTTTTGCACATAAACTTCATCTGTTAACAACCTTTGGAAAACCAACAGATATTTCTTACATATATCTAGTTTGTGTTGTTCCATGTTTAATTATATGCAAAGGAATGATACAAACTTGGAACATCGGTCCATAAGCTATGAACAGATGGGTAGAAGTATTCGATATATCTTGATAAAACTCTTAAATCCATGGCAAATCTTGTAGATCATGGTTTCCTTTAAACAACCACATAAGCCAACACAGATCCAAGATCCACCGGCCTGTGTTTTTTTTTTTTTTCTTCATTATAACATACAAATGCCCATTTACAAATAATACACCAAAATGAATAAAAGTTTGGATACCAAAATGAAGATTTGTTCCAACTGATACCGTGCCTTCTGTATGCAAAGGTCCTTGTTTCTAGTCCATTCCCGGGCTCCAATACAGGACACAGTTGCAAAGTGAAGTGCCTCTAACAGCCATTTCTCTTTCTTTCATGAACACTCACTGTTGTATCCACATAGTCACTGACTGAGTGAACACAGTTTCCTCTCTCGATCACACTCTCTCTCTCTCTTTATTGTAATCGGGGCCAATACTGAGACATGTCAGGTTCACTTCCGGGAACTTGGACGGGAACTGACACTCCAGGGGAAATGAGTCCTATAAATGGATACAGAAACAGCCACATGGGTAGATTCTAAAGATGGGACACAGCAGGAACACACAGACTTTCTAAAATTCCTAACACTTCACAATACTTTACATTTAAAAAATATATAACTTTTCAACCCTTCGAAAGAAAAGCAGACCTTTTGAAACTAGAGGCTGTGTTTATACTTCATGAAACCCAAGTCTCCCTCCCCAACATTTAGAAGTTTCAGTGCAGCCATCTCTGGAAGACATGTGCTATGCCCTCAGCTGGCATCGAGAAGCTAGAAGATGTAAAAGTCTTCCCAAAAGTACCCACATCGAGCTCAGTGGAGCCTCACTGTCCAGCTCTGGCTAAGATATCATCTGAAAATGTAATTTCAGGCCTTCATGCCCGATTTCCGTGATCACATTCACCACCATAAATGATGATTCTTTTGTCTATATGGTGTCAACTCACTAACCTAACTGAATTTCTCTTTTCAATCAGTTTTCTCTCAAGACAAGAGTAGTAAAATGTTCGCCATGCTCCTTAATGCGAGGCCAGAAGTTTCTTTCCGAGTCAGTGGTAAGCACACTGTGGGAGATCCGCTGGCCAAAGAGGCCCAGTAGACCCCTCTGCGCAGCTGCAGAGAGCTCACCTGTTGAAGTGGTCCCCGAGGTGCCCATGGGCTGACTATTCATGTGTGTTTGCATGTGTGGAGGGGTGTAGGTATCATAACTCCGCCCATTCACCGAAGGGCTGGTGGGCAGCATGCAGGAGTACGAGGAGGTCTGGCTGGGGACTGGGGGCTGCCAGGAGAAAGAAAAACCTGTGATTACTGGAACCACATCACACAACCACATCCCAGACTACCTCCTCCCCAGGGCCTGCCAGCAAGCCCCATCATTACTAACAGCTCTTTGGAATGTACTGGAATTCCATATAATGAGTCTAAGCCTGGTTCTTCAGTGGGCAGCAGCAGAGCAAAGCTGTGCCAAATTTCTGAGACACAGGAAATTCAAACAAATGTCCAGTTTTGGCAGTCTGCGCTCTTTTTACCTCTGCTAGAGTTACTAGCATGAGAGATCCCCTTGCTCCACAAACCTGGATCTATTTGATGGTACAATGATCCCTAAATTCCTTAGCTCAACTTTGGGGCAGAGAGCAATAGAACTCTGGAAAGTTTGATGTAGGGAACTTGGGAACCTTTCAGTGCTAGACTTGGAGGTTAGAGGGATTTTTATGCTGATGGTGGTGGTGGTGTTTTGTTTTGTTTTTAAAACACAAGCATAATGAAGTCAGGTTAAAGAGGTCAGGAATGTCAGTGAATGTAACTTAAACACAGCCTGAGAATTAACTGTGACTTCTGTGCCCTGATTCAGTCTCATCCATAAAATTGTATTGCTATCGTCTAAGCATTCAAAATGGAAATGTTGAGAAGATAAACTCCTCTCATAACTAAACAAGAAATATGAAAAGCCAGGATAAACCCCCTAAGGGGGCTCTCATGGTTGTTCGAGGTCAAAAACCTCACTAGATGAACCAATAGCATCATAATGTCAGCAACAGCTGCTCTGCTCTGCAAATGCTTGACATCCTCAAATCCTCATTCACAAAGACCAACACCCGCCAAAAAAAAAAAAAAAGGCCAGAGGAAGGAGCCCATTTTTTGCAAGACACAGAGGATTTTGGTCAACAGGATGAAGCCATTGACAGAGAAACTACCCCTCCCCATTCCAAAATTTAAAGAGTAATTTTCTCTGAACAGTAAAATCACAGATTGTTTTTATTTTCCTTGTTTAATGGAACCATTTACTTTTGTAACTGTACAATCTTTGTAATTTTTAAAAGTCAAAGTTTGAAATAAATCAACCCAACATACTTCTTTATGACTGGAAGCAAGCTTAATATAATGTATCATCTATTTAATCATTTCATTTTGGTTTTCCATGTGCACTATGTCATCCTCACAGAAACCTAGATGTTGCTATAATGTATAAAACTGCACAAGATGCTCTGTGGCCTCATTAAAGTCAGAGGATGACTGCTCCTGTCAAGTTCAGAAAGGCAAACAGGCCTGAAGGGCCCTGCCAGAATTTCAGCTTGCATTTGTTTCTAATTCTTACAACCACTTCCACTAGGTACCCTTACTTCTGGAAAATTCTAGGATGGTGCTAGCAATACCAACGAGTGGGCTGTTGGTCCTTCATCTACATCAGTTGCACTATGGCCAATAGAAACCAGGTGCAATAGAAAAGGCTCATGTGACAAAGTGCTCTGAGGTTGTTTATCTACTTCCAATATTGGTCTGAAGATCGGTAGACTTTTATTTTGCCATTATTTCAATTTCAGACTTGGCAAAAAAAAAAAAAAGAAAGAAAGAAAGAAAAAGAAAAAGAAAAAGAAAAAGTTCAGTGGAGAATAAATAATCTGTGTAACCCCAGAACTGCTTCCAGCAGGGGCTCACACTGACCAGTCCCATACCATCAGGCATATCTAATGGTCGCACAGGCAGGAGACTTGGGAACACTGATGTAGAAGAGCCATCAGAACCGCCCAGCAAGAATCCCTCAGAAAAAAATAAATAAATAAATAAAGGTCTACTATATACCAAGAGCCCTGTACAACTTAGGTTAGAAAATGGCAGCTTAATCTAGGACTTACCCTAAGGACACAGGCCAGTGTATGAAGAATGCCATCCAGGCAGCAAGGATTACCACCAACCTGTCACATCATCTACAGCTGATACACATTCAATTTCTAGCAAATACTTTCTATTACATTTTTACTTTTAAATATTAAAAGAACTACTCTCCCTGTGTTGTTAAATGTACTTCACTGGATAAAGGGACAATCTGATTTCTCAGCCTCTTTTTTTTTTTATTCCTCACTAGCTTCTCACATGGACCAGAAATAATCTTTTCAAATTCTTATGCTTAGTCTTCAAAATGTTTATGCACTAACATAAACACAAAGTTTTTCGATCTTACTACCTTATACCTTATATATTCCAGCATCATTTCTACTTTGTGGTATAAGCTTCACCGGTCCCCAAAATAGAGCTCACTACCCCTCAGAATTATCCAGCTATCAGGATGATAAAAGGCACATTAACTTCACTCAGGATCGAGTGTTTGTTTTTCAAGGGCATGAATCCATCAATCAGTCAATCAATCACCTAAAAGTGATTGGATTGACTGTCTCAGAGTTGACTGGTCAAGCCAATCACTGTCATAAGAAGGACTCCCAAAGGAGTGAATGCAACTGATGGGGTCTGCAAGCCCTAACCCCTTCCTTGCCCTGGGTAGCAGGTGGCCAGCCTCTCTTACTTGCATAGGCAGGTTGTTTGCCATGGTAAAGCTGGGCATGGGTGGCAGAGCACTGTACGTGTTGGTGAGGGCGGTGTCTGTTCGGCCCAACATAGAGCCTGATGTGAAGGAGGAAACTGCAGAGAAAGAGAAAAGAGAAAGGAGAGGTGGAAGGTCATTACAGGACAAGGGACAGTCCAGGGCAAACAGGTTTAAGAACCTTTCTTGGCAGTTGGCATTTCAAGTTACCAGGCGTGGTGGGCTGTGGAATTGGCTGATAGACACTGGTGCTGAAACTGCTGCTGATAGGAATGTGACTGGGGGTGTTGCTGGCTTGTCTTCTCTGGTTTCTCAGTTTTTCTTCTCTTCTCCATTTGGCCCTTCGATTAGAAAACCATACCTGGAAATGTGTGGAAGTGGTTAGGCCTGTGCTTGCCACCACTCTACCACAAACAAAAACCCCTCCATTTCCACCCTCCTTTGCCCCAGGAAAAGAGAGTCTTTGCCAATAGACCCTGTTACTAGTTTTATACAGACAAAGCAAAGAAAGCATAAGAATCACAATGTGAAAAACCAACATGGTCCCGAGGTACCTGTATTCTTGCTTCAGGTAGATCTATTTTGGCTGCTAGTCTTTCCCGGGCAAACACGTCTGGATAATGGGTCCTCTCAAACTCTGGAAGAGTAAGTTGGTCTTATAGGTTATGCCAGAATATAAAATATCCGAACACTGGATCAAGCTGGCTTTTGTCACCCATCTCCTCCGAACAATTTCCTTTCAAACAACCTGACAGTGCGTTGACTCTACTTGCGAGAACTTTTGCACCAGAACCAAGTTAAGTTTTCTTTGGAATGACATTGAGGGACTGTCCCCATCTGTGGCCTGAGATGGTCAGATCATCATTTTCTTTGTCTGTCGAATTTTTAATCTTTTGGTTTACTGGTAGGTAAAAAGAAGGAAGAAAACGCACATGCACATATACACCCTGAAAAGATGTTGAGGGGGGCAAGAGAAAGGAGGTCTTTTCAGTCCCCTATGCAAAGGGCCCTTGCTGACTTTAGCCTTTTGTGCTGTTGGTGTAGCATTTACTCTGACTTAAGGCTTCTCTACTTTGAAATTTTCCCATCACCTTTCTCCAGGGCCTCAATCTGCTCTTGGGTAAAAGATGTTCTGTTCCTTTGCAGCTTCCGCTTCAGCTGAAGTCGCATTTGAGCCTCATCTGAGTCTTCTCCATTGGAACTGATGGAGTTGGTGTTCTCTCCCCCTCCTTCCTGTTGCTGGCAGCCATCTGCAACAAAAAGAATAGGACAATAAAAGAAGTCAGAATGACACAGGACTCAGTACAGTTATAAACTCCAAGGACTGGATAATCTGAATTTCCACAAAGCCTCTCTAAGCGATAGCCCTCCTTTAATGACACTGTCACCTGAGTCCTAGTCCTTTATGCTTTTGTCTAGATGAGACCTGACAATGCTCTCACAAAGTAGCATTTCTCTGAATGACAAAGCAAGCCAAAAAGTTTCCAGGCAAAATGAATTTTCACTACTGACTGACTCCTCACACTCCGCACCCTTGCCCTGCAGAAAGTATTTACCTAGGGCTGTGTTGGGAAAATAGAGTGATGTGCAAGATTTTAGCTGATTTATAATCAGTAATTCCTATCTAATCAATTAGATGTTGATAGGTTTGTAGAAAATGCTATTAAGAAACCAAACCAAGCTTGTAATCTTTTTAAAAAAATATTTATCTAGTTTTTATTTGAATTCTGCACAGTCAATTTCATTTTAAAGGTTGTGAATTTAGAAGTGCTTGCATTGTTCTGCAGTTTTATTCAACCATTGTGTGAGTGTGTTTCGCCTTGACACCTATTACGAGCACAGCTGTAATTATATCATCACCAAGAACAGGCTATAATTGCTGAAAATGGAATTTTATATTTAGATAAAAGGACTGTCCATTCTTTGTAATGTGTTGCACCAGAGAAAAGTAAGATTTCTTTTAAATTTTTAACGTGTAATTTTAAAAAAGAAATCGTGGAGAGTTCACTAACTAGCTAAATATGCTATGCTGCAGCTGAGTCCTTGGCATATCGTTTAAGTGGTACATTTTTAATTAGGGCATTTCCACCACTGTTAATGTAATTTCTATCATTAAACAGGGAAAGTTTCATTGTTTTCCTTGGTGGGGAGATGTGCACTGGGGCTAACGGACTCTGGGTGCACCTTGCGGGCAAGGGGACAGCCTGTGGGAAGGGAAGGACTCAGGCGTTGACCAGGCTTTCCAGGGTATTGCAGGCTGAGTCTGGGGTCCTGAGGCCTGTGGCCCCCATGGGATACCAACAAGGACTGTCCCCTCCCGGATCCTAGAAACTTGGCCAGTTTGGGGGGAGGGGCCGCCAGGCCTCTGTGGGAATCGACTTGGCCAGGAATATCATTTATAACCAGGAGACAATAGGCAGCGCCTTCAAAGCGTTCAGGGAATTGTGACAGGATCTAGTGGGATCTTTTCAGGAACTTTGAAATGTTTTAAAACCCCAACTTTCTCCCCCATTTAAACAGGCGGATTCATCGGCACTGGCCACCATATGGGCCCTTGGAGATCTATTGAGATGACCACCAACACTTGAATAGCGAGGGGCTGCTTTTCAGCACCGCACAATGCCCCGCGAGTAAGGGAAACTATTAAACTCCTGGGGCAGGAGCGTTGGCAAACTTTCGTGGGCAGAATTTTGAGGCCACAATGAGCACGGACAACAAAAGGATTCTCTTGAGGCGTGCAGCGGGCCACATTGTGCTACAAGAAGCCCAGTCAACAGACTTTTCAGCGAAGTGTGTTAACCCCTCTGCTCCGCTATCATTAATCACTGTCCGGAGAGCGGGCGCCTCGGTGCTATTTAGGGCGCTTGGCTGGGGGGGGGGGGGGGGGGAGCGGAGTATGGAGGTGGAGGGTAGGGAGTGG